TGTGGGTGTGTTTCCCACATACCTAACTTTTGGCTGTTTACTTTCTTGGTAAACTTTGCCCCAAGTTTTTGGGGTCTGGCCAAAGGCACAGCAGCAATTTTGGGGTATCTGTAAGTCTGAAGGCGCCATCAGGCTGCTGATGCACTCACTTCACAGGTACAGATTGACCTGCTGGTGGCACCATACCCCCTGCATTCAGTATTTTTATTGGGACATTAAAGCTTTTTAACTGGATGATAGCTTTGGGATGTGGGTATTACTGCTGAGGCTTCCGAAAGTGCAGGGAAGTGGGGGTGGGGTGGGGGGTGGAAGTAGCTCATTGCGACCAGAGAAAGCCTGGAGATTTCAGTCACAAAACCCGCAATACTAGAAATTTCAGCAGATTATGTCTCAGTGAGGTCTGTCCTGAGCAAGTTTGGATTGTGGAAGCAAGCAGCTGCTGGGGGCTCTGCTTGGGCAGGCCCCAAACCAATCCATCCCCCTCCGATTTACCCTGGCCTCTTCAGCCTTGCATGGACCAGAGATTAACTGCGGCTTTTGATCTCTCTTGAGATTTATTTATGGGTCCCTGGAGCAAGGCTGGTAGAAGATCTGACGTGGTGACGCTGTAGTTGGTTCCTGGGGTGACTGCTAGTACTTCTAGGAGTATTGGGAAGAGGGGGAAGGTAGCCCATCCTGACTTCGAGAAAGTCTGGACATTTCAGTCACAAAACCTGCAAACTCAAATTTTCAGCAGACTATATCTAGTGAGGTCCAACCTGAGATGATGGAGTATGGCGACGACTTCAGGTTGTGGAAGCAACTGCTGTGTGGGCTCTCCCTAGGCAGTCATCAGGCTGACCCGCCCCCCACCCCCCAATTTACCCTGGTCTGTTCAGCCATGTGCAGGTCCAAGATTAACTGCAGTTTTTGATCTCTTTTGAGATTTATTTATGGGTCTCTGAAATAAGGCCGATAAATGAGCTTTATAACTGAGCTATAGGTGGTTTGTGGGTGTGGCTCCCACATACCTAACTTTTGGCCATTTAATTTTACTTGGTCCCAAGTTGTTGGGGTCCAGTCTAAGGCACAGTGGCAATTTTGGGGTATCAGGAAGCCTGAAGGCACCATCAGGCTGCTGATGCACTCACCCTCCAGGTACAGTTGACCTGCTTACCATACCCCCTTAACTTCTCTTAACCTCTTGCACTTTTGCTACTGTAAACCTTGAGTCCAGTGTGTTAATTCTTGGGTATCCCAGAAACAGACTGGGGAGGCTCAGTGACTCACTCCTGCACCTCAAGAACAAGTTGTCAAGACTTGTGCAAAATGGCCTGAAGCCCTCTCCTGGAAGGATAATCAATGAATCCCAGAAGCAGAAGGCCTAGCCATACCCCAGTGACAAATGAGCCTTGGGGTGAAAGAGTCCCAGAAGTGGGGATGCTAATTGTTGCAGATTGGATAATCCCTTTGGGTTGCAGCCAATCAAGTGAGGGCATCTCCCTTTTTCTAGGTGGAAGTGGTGGACTCCTGATGAGCCCATCAGTGGGCAGGGCCTGGTCACAGCTCCTGTGTCCTGATGCCCAGTCCCCAGAGGGCCTTCTCCCTGGCTAGCAGCAATGCTCTGCAGGCCTCAGGCTCCTCACTATGCCGGGCTCCAGGATTGGGACCATCGGCAGTTTGAAACAGTCCCTGCACGTGATGGCGCTCCCAGGCGTCACACCTCATCTCTAGCAGAGGCCCCCATGCTCCTCCGAGGCTCTGGGCTTCACTCCTCACTTTTCTCTTGTTAGTCCTCTTTACTCCCTTCTCTGCTACTCTCTCCTGCTGTCTCTCCTGCAGACTTGAGTGTCTCGCAATGTCACGGCTGCATCAGACTCACATTATGATGATGTTTCTCTATCCTGCCATTCCCCGTGCTCCAGAGGCCCTGGCATCCCCCCAACTTCTGGGGCTTCACTCTTGTGTGTTCCCACCATTCAGTCCCACAGGGGTGGGGTCTGCATGGGTGACAGAGCTCAGGAGCAGCGTTCCCTGTGGTTCCTGGGAATGAAGCTTCCACGAGCAGAGCCTCCTTCCCTGGTCGGGAATGGTGCTGTCTCTGTCTTCCTCCCTCCATGACTTTTCCTTCAGCCAAGGAATTTCTTCCAGCACAGTGGGAGCCACATTGTTTATGCAGTCACCACTTGTCATTCTTTTTTTTTTTTTTTTTTTTTTTTTTTGCTTTTTGGGTCACACCTGGCAATCCACAGGGGATATTCCTGGCTTATGCACTCAGGAATTACTCCTGGCGGTGCTCGGAGGACCATATGGGTTGCTGGAAATTGAACCTAGGTCTGCTGCATGCAAGGCAAATGCGCAATCCGCTGTGCTGTTGCTCCATCCCCTCATCATCTTTTCTTGTGTCCTCTCCACAGGGAAGGTGAGACAGATTGTGCATTGTGCATTTTACAGACAGGGATGTTGCTAGTGGAGACCTACCACCTTCTTTTTTTATGTATGATTGTGTGTAATTTTTTAATATTATAAAGTAGTTCACAATATTTGATTACATTTAATATTCAAATACCAATCCCTCTACCATTATACCTTCCCACCATTATATTTCGTTTGTTTCCATCCTGAACCCCGATCCATGCCCCAAAGCAGAACTGAAATAATATAATATTTCCCTCTAAGGTTGGTTGCCTCCTACTTTGAATCCCATCAAATGTGGTGCGGTACTCTTGGAGTATGGGTAGGGTGTGTCCTATGAAGTGTCTTGTGGCCACATTTGCGGCCTTGTGGTCCAAGAAAAGGTTCACGCGTGGGTGAGGGTTGGCCCAAGCATGTGGAGAGCGGCCGTGAGCAGGGTGTCAGTTGAGTTCTGGAGGTTTTTGGCTCCTGGGGCTGAGTCCTTTTTGGCTGTAGGGAGGGGTCTCACCTGACCCCCTCTGGGGCGCCTAGAGTGAAACAGCCTGGCAAGGGCTGATGGCATGGTTATGGCAAGTGGCATGTTGCTCTCTCTCTGCTTTCTTCCAGGAGAGAAAGACATTTGATCTGAATGGTGGCTGATGACGAGACTATCTGGTGCTAGCCAGGGGTGGCTTATGGGCATGACTGCTGAGTTTTAGACGGGGGAATACGAGCAGAGGATCTCATTCCCAGTCCCTTTGAACCCAGGGTTCTCGGTCATAAAGTCCCGCATACCTGGGTTTTCTGGGGGTTCACTTGTGGGTGAGGCTCTTCCTGAGTGTGTGGAAATCGGCTGTGAGCAGGCTGGTCGTTGAATTCTGGAGGTTTTTGGTTGTGACTGTGTATAATTAATGGGTGTTTTGTGATGCTAGATTAACTTCTATCCATGTGAAGGTGACTTAGCTTCATACTATGTACACATTCTCCTCAAGGGAGGGTCCTATAGTGTTAGACCTTGTGTTACTTCCCATAACTGGATAATGCCTGTCATTCCGAAAGTCACGATCACGATCACAACCATCCTGTTATTCGTCGATTGCCTCGAGCAGGCCCCAGTAACGTCTTCTTCGTCCTAGCCCTGAGATTTTTTTGAAAAGTGCCATATTCAAGGCTCTTTCAGAGTTAGGAGAATGAGACCCATCATTGTTACTGGTATTTGACATATTGGGTACACCACAGGGAGTTTGCCAGCCTCTGCTGTGTGGGCAGGTTACTTTCGGTAGCCTGCCAGTTTGTCCAAAGTAGGAATGAGATAATGAGATGTCGCGTGGCCGCGAATGAGACTCTGCGCTGTTCTCTTCCGGGCGCTGGGTTTTATAGTCTCTGAGTCTTGGCCGTTGATGGGATTACACGGTGCCAGGGGGCCAGTTGGTGGGTGTGACCCCCGCCTACTGGAATTTGGAGGATCTGGGTGGAGGATGCTCAGCCTCGAAAGTAGTCAAAGTAAAGTTTCCTCCAAAACTCTTTTTTTTGTGTGTGTGTTTTGGATCACACCCGGCAATGCTCAGGGGTTTCTCCTGACTCTGCACTCAAGAATTACTCTTGACGGTGCTTGGGGGACCATATGGGATACTGGGAAATCAAACCCGGGTCGGCTGCGTGCAAGGCAAACACCCTACCCGCTGTGTTATCACTCCAGCCCCCTCAAATTAACTCTTAAGTACTCTGTGAAGCACAATTATTGCCAGAGTTCTATTTTGATGTTCCCTACTCCACGCATGACACTTCCTGTTTCTCGCACTTCCTGGCTTGTTGTCACCCAGACTCTGTCATGACATTACTTGGAGCCCATAGGGTCCATGGACTTGGCCATGGAAGGGATTCACATCACTGAAATGGGCAAATGCCTCCCATTAGAATTTTCTGAAGTGTTTCTGGGGAGGCAGCACAGCACCAGGCTGCCCCGCCACAGTGATGAAGCCCGGTGGTGACATTTCTGGGAATGTCAGTATGTCATTGATAAACAGGAAAGGATGAGAGGGTCCACAAGTGTAGTGGAAGGGGGGAGGGCGGGGAACCATAGCTCTGCTTGTCTCTCTGGGGGGTCTGGGAACACCTGCCGTGCTCAGGAAACTTTGGGGCTAATGGCAGCACTTCTGAGTGGTATGGGGTGTCTGTCTGTTGGGGTGAGCTGTGGTGTTGCAGTGGAAGACCCACACTTCTTTATTACCTAACTGGCATGATCTGAACTAACAAGCCAGTTAGGAGCTACAGCAGCATTGCTGAGAGGTCTGGGGTGCCATTAGGATGAGCTGTAGTGTCACACTGTAAGACCCCCACCCCTTTGTATCTCACTTGTAATGAGCTGGACTTCCAGGATACATATGACCTTTTATGAAGCTGTTGAGGCAAGAGTGAGTGTGGGAACTGAAGATGAAGGCGCATCAGTAAATGCACATCAGGAAGTTCTGATGCCGGAGATATTTTACTGCACAGAAAGGAAGGGCATGGAACATTCGCAAGAGTCCATCTCGAGGGTTCCCTATCGTCCTGAGGAAGATGAAGGTGAGGGAGACAGTGCAGGAAGTCACCGAGGAAGGACAGGATGTCACTCCCGGAGCAGAGCATCACAGGGCTCCAGGCCCCTTTCCGTCCAGTCCCGCAGACAGCTTCACGCTCTCAGCTCTGTCACCAAATCATTCCTCACTGTTTATGGCCATCTGGGTCCCAAGGCTGCACATCCTAAAGCTCCTGTTACCCTTGCCAGCTCCTGATGGTCCCTGAGACCTTCTCTGGCTGAGATGAGCCTCGACGAGCAGAATCCCGAGGAGCAGCAGGACCACAGCACCCACGAGCATCCGGCCAACATTCCCCACCGTGTAGTCCTGGTGGTGGGCGGGTAACCGAGGAGGGTCTAGCGGGAACAGAGGTCAGGAGTGAGCTGAACAGGGATCCCTTCCCTGGACAGGGCATGCCTCCCTGCCCCCTCCCAGAGTGGACCACCCACTGCTGCTGGAATTGGGATTTTCCTGATCTGGGCTGAGAGGAAAGTGGAGGCTGGTCCCCTCGCTTTGTGACAGCCACATCACAATTTTCTTATATTTTATTTCATAAAAAAATGGAATCACTGAAATTATAGGGTTACAAAGATATTTATGATTGAGTTTCAGCCACCTATGGTTTGAACACGAACCCCTCACCAGGGCCCACTACCCTCCACCAGTGTCCGTGTTGCCCCTGCCCCCAGCCTGACTCTGTGGCAGGTATTTCCCCCTTCCTCACTGTCCAGTGTTCCTTTCCCCAACTCTCCCTACCCCTGACCCAGGGCCAAGCTTCCTACTGAAGCCTAGCTCTGCTCTTTATTTCTATGCCCCCAATATTCCCCTATGAGGTTTCTTCATATCCCACACATGAGAGATCACTTGGGTCTGTTCCTCTCCCTCTGGTGGATTTCACTCAGCACGATTCTCTCCAGTGGATCTCTGTGTGTTTTGTTTTCGTTGCACACAGGCAGTGCTCAGGGATCACTCCTGGCAGCACTCTGAGGACACTACAGGACGCTGGGGATGGAACCCACGTCAACCCTGGCAAGGCAGAGTGATAACTGCTGGGCTCTCTCTCTAGCCCCTGTCGATGCATAAGATTAGTGACAACATCAGTAGATCAAGGCACTTGTACAAACTGAGTTATGCGATCACCTTTACATGTAAATGTATTGTGCTTGTGTTCTGTACCTATGGTTATATGCTTAATATTTAGCGCATTAAAGAAATGTTATATACCTTTTCTTTTCTTCTTCTTTTTTTTGCTATTTGTGTCACACCCAGTTATGCTCAGGGGTTACTCCTGGCTCTGCACACAGGAATTACTCCTGGCAATGCTCGGGGGACCATATGGGATGCTAGGAATCGAACCTGGGTCGGCTGCGTGCAAGGCAATTGTCCTACCCATTGTGCTATTGCTCCAGCCCCTACTTTATTGATTTTTATAAAATATGTAAGTCTAGTAACATGTATTTATGTGGTGACACCATTTACATACATGAATCCACACCCGCTTCTCTCTGCTGACAGAGGGGCTCGTGCTCAGTGTATAGGTGGGAGAATGGGCAGTTCCTGTCTGGGTCTGTGTGCCAGGCCAGTCACCAGCAGCAGCAGGAGGAGGAGGCAGTGTCTTGGGGTATGTCAATCTCTCCCATTCTAGCACTATGGGCAGGACCTGAGGGGATAGGGTCCTGCGGGCTCAGGAGGGAGGGTCTTCAGCCCCTTCGTTTCCAGGGGACACTGTCTCCACACTCTGTGAACCAGGACCCCAATATTCCCTCAACCCATTGCTGACAGTGGCTCTACTGTGAGACGAGACCCCAATAATCTGGAGGGACCAGGGTAAGCCTCACCTGAGATCAGGAGCTGCAGGGGGTTGCTGGGCTGAGACCACACCTGATCTTTGTTCATATAGCCATAACACCTGAAGGTCCAGCTGTATCCAGGGCTCAGGGGACCCACAGAGAACAGGGCGTGGAACGTCCCATTGGGGTGTGGCTGTGAGTCTAGGGTCTGGGAGGGCCCAGGTTCTCCCTCCTGAGTCAGAGCAAAACCTTTGAATTTCTTCTGTGAGTGACACTGGAGGGTCACGTTACTCCCCGACGTCAAGACAGGGTTTGACAGGATGGAGAGGAAGGGTTTGTTGTAGGCTCCTAGTATGGAAGACAGGATTCCTGGGTCACACCCACACTCCAGGGAGACACCTGAGAGCAGAGCCCCTCCCTGTGCCCAGACCACAAAGTCTCACCTGTGACTATCAGCTGCAGGGGGTTGCTTTTTTCTGAGCATCCCGAGAGGCCGCACTGCTCACAGGTATACCTCGCTGCATAGCTGAAACCTGTGATGTTCATGGGAAACTTGACCTTGTCACCAGATTCCAGTGGCAGTTCTATACCTAAGACACCATCATTTCCATGTCCTTCAAGGACATACTTCTGGGCCCCTGGGGTTCCCTGACACCAGAAGGTCATGGAGCTCCCCTGGGGAATCACAGAGCCTGGCTCAGCCCAGAGGGTGGGTCTGGGCAGGGTCCCTGGAAGGAAGCAGAGGCTGGTCACAGACATTCCCGCCCCAGTCCCAGCTATAGCCCAGGACCCCCCGCATCCCCACTCATTCCCAAGAATTGATGCCCCCGTCCCAGCTGTGGGCTTTATTCCAGAGATCCCTGGCCCTGGGAATGCACTCACCCTCCTGCATTGGTGTCCCAGCACCCACACTCGGCCCTGGAAGAGAAACCCCTATGAGAGTCTATCCAGAGTCTGAAGGAACCTCATCCCAGGGCCCCCCAAGTCTCAGGTCCCTTGACCTCTGGGCTCCCAGACATAGGTCCCCCCTGAGGCTCACCCAGACAGAGCAGGATCATGAGGGGGGTCATGGTGTCTCCTCCTGTCCTGGTTATTAGGGGGCTCAGAGCCCTACAGGAAGGCACAGGGTGTGTCCTTGAGGCTGGCCCTTAGAGTCATGCGATGTCACGTCAGAGCCCTCAGGAAGGGGAACTGTCCCCTCTCTGTTGTTCAGTGATAACATCCTGTACTCCACAACTATGCTCAGGACTGATCTTGTCTGTAATATGAAGGGACGAGGCTGTGCTCACACAGCATAAAGAGATTCTGGGGGCTGATGGAGATGACGGTTTCGAGCACTGGAGCAGGAGCAGTATGGAGAGAGCACTGTGCAGGCATCGACTGACCGGGTCAGATCCCTGCCAGTGAGGCCGTGAGGTGCTGTCAGTGTGCCATGTGTCCCTGTGTCCCTGTGGAGAATGTTTGCATGTCTGCTGCCTGAGTCCCTGTCCAGCAGGGATCCTCAGAGGGCGGCAGGTGAAAGATGGAGCTATACACATGTGTTTATCCCTTTGCACACTGGAAACGCAGGAGATTTTAAAAATATTTTATTTTTACTGTGTGAAGCACAAGTTTCTTCATCTGACACCTCCCAGGACCTTGGGGACACAGGGACATTGGAATCTGCTGGAGTGGCAGTTTATTCCTTGCAGAGTCCAGAGAGAGAGAGCGAGGAGCCTCACTGCAGCACTCACAAGTGAGACTTTTGTGATTGGCATAGAGAACATTCCAGACGCTTCTGCAGATGCTCAGGGCAGATCCTGCACTAGAAAGTGAGGAACTGGAACTGCTGCCACTGGCCACAGCAGGGTTCAGGTGTGGGATGTACTTGGTCTCTGCACCCTGCACGCTCAGGTGCCCAGCACCCTCCCCAATGGATCCTAAGCCCCTTTATCTGCTCTGCTCCCCCAACCCACGCTCTCTCTGCTTTCTGCTAAGATATGAAGGCCAGTCAGTCCCCAGGGTTGGTGACTGTGTGGTACTGTCCATTCTCCCATTTTCTCTCTATTGCACAGATGTGTGAGAATAGTACTTGTCCCTTTCTCTCTGACTTATTTTAACTTCCGGTTATGTCTGGTTGGCAGAAAATGACACGATTTCATCTTTTCTTACAGCTGCATAGTATTCTGTTGTGTCTATAGACCCCATAATCTCTGTCACTATCTGTTTATCTGTTGTAGGATGTTTGGGTTCTGTCCATTGCTTGGCCTTTAACCATGCCCCCAAATGGACAAAAGTGTGCATACATCTTGTAGATTGGGGTGTAGATGCCAAGAAGTAGATGTGGCCCAGTTGGGTCTATGGAAGTTCTCTGCTTCCTTGTTAGGAGAAATCTCCCTGCCGTGTGTCCCATGGAGTTTGAGGAAGATGGCAGCCCAATTGTTGGGGAATGAGTTTCCTTTTCTTCCCTGTATCCCAATATTTGCTGTTTCCATTTTTTTTTGGTGTGCCTTGTTCTCCTTAGCGTTGGGTTACGCGAGCTCCTTGCTGTTTGGACTCGTATTCCTGTGACTCAGTCACATTCTAACGCTCCACTGAGCATCTGTGCATCCTTCTGTGGGCAGGGCCTGTCCATCGTCCCTCTGTGCCGTCTGTCTGTCCTTGAGCTCCCCTCACCCGCACGTTCTTCAGGCGCTGATTCAGGCTTTGGTCAAAGGTCACTCTCACTGGTGAGGCACTACGCCTTGTGTCTCTGGTTTGGGTTTCCTGATCATGGAGAGATGGAGCTGCTTTCTCCTGAGCATATGTATATTTTCTTTTCTTTTATTTTCGTTTTTGGACACACATGGTGATGCTATAGTGTTTACTCATAGGAATTCCTCCTGGAGGGACCATCTGGGATGTTGAGGTTAGAACCCCATTAGGTCATGTGCTGAGGCTGTACCCTCCCCACTATGCTGTGGTCCCGGCCCCTGGGCTGTCCGTTGTGCTTTGTTGTTAGTGTGCCCTAGACAGGACCTTTGTCAACATGTGAGGGTAATGTTCCCTCCTTTCACCAGGTCTCAGTCTTTGGGAAAGAGGAGCCTGAACTGTCCCCCCTCCCTCAATGCCCTGCGCCCTGAGCAGAGACAACACTGCTTTGAGTCTCAGTTTCCCTGACTCCCGCTGCCATGACCCCACACTCATGGGAGTTGGTCACTGGTGTGGGATCCAGAGGGAGAGATCTTGTGATCAGAACAGGTGACAATGTCAGTGTGGGGAAGACGGGAAGTGGCCCACTCAGCCAGGGGTGGGAGGGTTCTGGCCACCAGAACCCAATCCTGTCCACACACTGACTGATGTCCTCTTCCATAGTTTGGGGCTACGCTCAGCAATGCTCAGGATTACTCCTGTCTCTGCACTCAGGAATTTCTCCTGGCAGTGTTCTGGAAACCATAGAATGCCAAGGATTGATCCTTCAAGGAAAGTGCCCTACCAGCTATGCTGTTGCTCCATCATTCTGTTTTTTTTTTTAATTTTTAAAAAATTTTATTTATTTATTTTACAAAATTTTCATGATGATTTGTTATAGAGATTCAATATTCCAACACCAATCCCAGCATCATTGCACCTTCCCACCGCCATTATTTCCAACTTTCCCAACCACCCCTTAAGACTTCCCCCATAGCAGACAAATAATTTACTTCATATTGCTTGTCATAAGTAATTTGCTGAAGTAATGATCAAAAAAGTTTTCTTTAGAAGAAATTTAGTTAAGATCATTGTACTCACCAGGGAGCCATTAAACTCTTTTATACGAGATTACTAAGATGCTGTTATATGTTAAGTTCCTTGTTTGTATTCTTTAAATTGAAATTGGTTTCCTTCTACATTACACCCCATCCAATCTGGTGTGCTACTGCTAGTTTATGAGTGTCATAGAGGTTGAGGTGTTGCCTGGCTGTGAATGAGGCTGTGTCTCAAGAAGGTCCAAAATTTTTAACCGGGTAATGCAACTGGAGCTAAAATATTAATTGGGTGATGGCTTTGGGCATGTACATGACTACTGGGATTTCCAGAAGTACAGGGAGATGGGAGAAGGTAGCCTATTCCCAACTCTCTGAAAACCTGGATATTTCAGTCACAAAACCCACATACCCGAGTTTTTCAAAAGATTAATTTCTGAATAAGGGCTCATCCAGAGCCATGTAGTCTGGCTGAGACTATGGCAGTGATGGTGGAGTCTGAAGGCTTTTGGTGGCTGGAGTTCTGGACCGCCTTGGGACTGACCCACTCCCCTTCAGGGTACCCCAGGTGACTCAGCATTGTGTGAAGTCTGGAAGAATCTCTTCTCTGGTTTGTCTTTCTGGGAGTCTGGGAACACCCCACAGTGCTCAGGAAACCCCGCAGCTATGGCGGCAATGCTGAGAGGCCTGGGGCGCCATCAGGATGAGCTGTAGTGTCACACTGTAGGATCCTCACCCCTTTGAATCTCACTTGTAACGAGCAGGGCTTCCAGGACACTTATGTATGACCTTGTATGCAGCTATTGAGGCCAGAGCGAATGTGTGAGCTGGAAACGGAGGCACATCAGTAAATGCACATCAGGAAGTTCTGATGTTGGACAGCTTTTACTCCACAGAAAGGAAGGGCATGGAACATTTACAGGAGTCCATCTCGAGGGTTCCCCCATTGTCCTGAGGAAGATGAAAGAGGGATACAGTACAGGAGGAGATATCACTGAGGCAGGAGGAGACATCACTCCTGGAGCAGAGCATCACAAAGCTCCAGGCCCCTTTCCATTCAGCCCCGCGGACAGCCTCACGGCTGTCGGCTCTGTCACCAACTCATTCCTCGCCTCCGTGGTCATCCGGGCCCCAATGCTCCGCCTCCTCAAACTCCTGTCCCTCCTTTGTTGAAGGACCCCACAACCTTCCTTGGCTGAGATGAGCCTCGACGAGCAGAATCCCGAGGAGCAGCAAGACCACAGCGCCCACGAGCATCCGGCCAACATTCCCCACCGTGTAGTCCTGGTGGTGGGCGGGTGACTCGGGAGGGTCTAGCAGGGACAGAGGTGGAATGTGAGCTGAACAGGACTCCCTTTCCTGGACAGGACGTGCCCCACTGCCTCCTCCCAGAGTGGCCCACCCTCTGTTGCTGAATTGGGCTTGTCCTGAGCTGGGTTGAAAGGAAAGTGGAGGCTGGTCCCCTGCCTTTGTGACAGCCACATCACAATTTTCTTGTATTTTATTTCTTAAAAAAATGAAATCACTGAAATTATAGGGTTACAAATATATTTATGATTGAGTTTCAGCTACCAATTGTTTGAACACGAACCCCTCACCACTACCCTCCACCAGTGTCCGTGTTTCCCCTGCCCCCAGCCTGGCTCTGTGGCAGGTATTCCTCCTCCCTCACTGTTCAGTGTTCCCTTCCCTAACTCTCTCTACCCCTGACCCAGGGCCAAGCTTCCTACTGAAGCCTAGTTCTGCTCTTTATTTCTATGGCGCCAATATTCCCCTATGAGGTTTCTTCATATCCCACAGGTGAGAGATCACTCGGGTTTGTTCCTCTCCCTCTGATGGATTTCACTCAGCATGATTCTTTCCAGTGGATCTCTGTGTGTTTTGTTTTCTTTGCACACAGGCAGTGCTCAGGAACCACTCCTGGAAACACTCTGAGGACACTACGGGATGCTGGGGATGGGACCCTGGCAAGGCAGAGTGATAACTGTTGGGCTCTCTCTCTGGCCCCTGTCGATGCATAAGCTTAGTGACAATATCGGTAGATCAAGGCACTTGTACAAACTGAGTTATGCTATCACCTTTACATGTAAATGTATTGTACTTGTATTCTTTACCTATGGTTATATGCTTCATATATAGTGCATTAAAGAAATTTATATGCTTTATTGATTTTTATAAAATATGTAAGTCTAGTAGTATGTATTTATGCGGTGACACCATTTACATACATGAATCCACACCCACTTCTCTCCAGGGACAGAGGGAGTCGTTCTCAGTGTGTAGGTTGGGAGAATGGGCAGTTAATGTCTGGGTCTGTGTGTGTCACGCCAGTTACCAGCAGCAGCAGGAGGAGAAGGTGGTGTCTTGGGGTCTGTCAATCTCTCCCATTCTAGCACTCAGGCAGGGCCTGAGGGGATAGGGCCCTGTGGGCTCAGGAGGGACAGTCTTCTGCCCCTTCGTTCCCAGGGGACACTTTCTCCACACTCTGTGAACCGGGACCCCAATACTCCCTCAGTCCACTGCTGACACTGGCTCCCCTGTGAGATGAGACCCCAGTAATCTGGATGGGTCCAGGATGGGCCTCACCTGAGACCAGAAGCTGCAGGGGGTTGCTGGGCTGAGACCACACCTGATCATAGTGCATATAGCCATAACACCTGAAGGTCCAGCTGTGTCCAGGGTTTAGGGGGCCCACAGAGAACAGGGCATGGAACGTCCCACTGGGGTGTGGCTGTGAGTCTAGGGTCTGGGAGGGCCCAGGTTCTCCCTCCTGAGTCAGAGCAAAACCTTTGAATTTCTTCTGTGAGTGACACTGGAGGGTCACGTTACTCCCCGACGTCACGACAGGGTTTGACAGGATGGAGAGGAAGGGTTTGTTGTAGGCTCCTAGTATGGAAGACAGGATTTCTGGGTCACACCCACACTCCAGGGAGACACCTGAGAGCAGAGCCCCTCCCTGTGCCCAGACCACAAAATCTCACCTGTGACTATCAGCTGCAGGGGGTTGCTTTTTTTTGAGCATCCCGAGAGGCCGCACTGCTCACAGGTATACCTCGCTGCATAGCTGAAACCTGTGATGTTCATGGGAAACTTGACCTTGTCACCAGATTCCAGTGGCAGAACTGTATGACTGACACCTGTATGTCCGTATCCTTTAATGACATATTTCTGGGCTCCCGGGGCTCCCTGACACCAGAAGGTCACGGAGCTCCACAGTGGCATCACAGAGCCTGGTTCAGCCCAGAAGGTGGGTCTGGGCAGGGACCCTGGAAGGAAGCAGAGGCTGGTCACAGACATTCCCACCCCAGTCCCAGTTCTCAGCCCAGGAACTTCACATCCCCCCATTCATCCCCAATAACTGATGCCCCCGTCTCAGCTGTGGGCTCTGTCCCAGGGGTTCCTGGCCCTGGGGACACACTCACCTGCCTGCATTGGGGTCCTGGCACCCACACTCAGCCCTGGAAGAGAGACCTTGTGAGAGTCTGTCCTGAGTTTGAGGGAACTTCGTCCCAGGGCCCCCCAAGGCTCAGGCCCCCTGACCTCTGTGCTCCCATACTCAGGTCCCCCCTGAGGCTCACCCAGACAGAGCAGGGTCATGAGGGGGTTCATGGTGTCTCCTCCTGTCCTGGTTATAGGGGACTCAGAGCCCCACAGAAAGGCACAGGGTGTGTCCTTGGGGCTGGCCCTGAGAGTCATGCGATGTCACGTCAGAGCCCTCAGGAAGGGGAACTGTCCCCTCTCTGTTGATCAGTGATAACAACCTGAACCCCACAACTGTGCTCAGGACTGATCTTGTCTGTGATATGAAGGGACGAGGCTGTGCTCACACAGCATAAAGAGATTCTGGGGGCTGATGGAGAGATGGTTTTGAGAACTGAGCAGGAGCATCGTTGGAGAGAGCACTGTGCAGGTATCAGATCCCTGTCATTGAGGCCCATGAGGTGCTGTCAGTGTGCCATGTGTCCCTGTGTCCCAGTGGAGAATGTTTGCGTGTCTGCTGCCTGAGTCCTTGTCCTGCGGGGACTCTCAGAGGGCAGTGAAAAATGAAAACCACAGGTGAAAGATGGAGCCACATCATGTGTGTTTATCCCTTTGCACACTGGAAATGCAGGAGATTTTTTAAAAATGTATTTTTACTGTATAAGGCACAAGTTTCTTCATCTGACACTTCCCAGGACCCTGGGGACACAGGGACATTGGAATCCGTTGGAGTGGCAGTTTATTCCTTGCAGAGTTCATCGAGAGAGAAGGTAATACAATTGGAGTTAAAATGTTAATTGGGTGATGGCTTTGGGCATGTACATGATTGCCAGGATTTCCAGAAGTACAGTGAGATGGGGGAAGGTAGTCCATCTGTGACTGAAACCTGGAGATTTCAGTCACAAAACCCACATACCTGAGTTTTTTAAAAGATTAATTTCTGGATAGGCTCATCCCGAGCCATGGAGTCTGGCCAAGACTATAACAGTGATGTTGGAGTCTGAAGGCTTTTGGTGGCTGGGGCTCTGGACCGCCTCAGGACTGACCCACTCCCCCCTGGGGTATTCCAGATGACTTAGAATTGTGTGAAGTCTGGAAGAATCTCTGCTCTGGTTTGTCTTTCTGGGGGTCTGGGAACACCCTACAGTGCTCAGGGAAATCTGGGGCTACGGCAGCATTACCGAGAGTTCTGGGGTGCCACACTGGGGCGCCAGTGTGAGCTGTAGTCACACTGTAGGACCCTCGCTCCTTTGAACCTCACTTGTAATGAGCTGGACTTTCAGGACACTTATGTATGACCTTCTATGAAGCAGTTGAGGTCAGAGCGAGTGTGTGAACTGGAGATGAGGCACATCAGTAAATGCACATCAGGAAATTCTGATACCTGAGAGACTTTACTGCACAGAAAGGAAGGGCATGGAACATTCACAGGAGTCCATCTCAGGGTTCCCCATCATCCTGAGGAAGATGAAGGGGGGAGGGAGACAGTGCAGGAAGTCACCGAGGCAGGAGGGGACATCACTCCCGGAGCAGAGCATCACAGGGCTCCAGGCCCCTTTCCGTCTAGCCCCGCGGACAGGCTCATGGCTCTCAGCTCTGTCACCAACTCATTCCTCACTGCCAGTGGCCATCTGGGTCCCAAGGCTCTGGCTCCTCAAGTTCCTGTGTGCCCTTGTCAGCTCCTGATGATCCCTGCGAACTTCCCTGGCTGAGATGAGCCTTGAGGAGCAGAATCCCAAGGAGCGGCAGGACCATAGCACCCACGAGCATCTGGCTGACACTCCCCACCGTATAGTCCTTGTGGTGGGCAGGTGACCACGGAGGGCCTAGTGGGGACAGAGGTTGGGAGTGAGCTGAACAGTGCTCCCTTCCCTGCACAGGACCTTCCTCCCTCCTCTTCCCAGAGTGGTCCACCCACTTCTTCTGCAGTCGAGCTTGTCCTGACCTGGGCTCCTGGTGGCAGCTGCTTCTGAGAATGGTCAGTGGGGTGAGGAGGCTCCACAGATCTCAGAGGCAGCCCCTGGGCTCTTCTGCTCCCCCTACAGCCTGTGAGCTGCCTCTCCTCCTTAGCTCCTCTGGTGCTCCCCTCAGACTCCCTCAGCCTCCCTATGTGTCTGGATTCAGATCCTGCCTGGGTCACTTTGGAGCGGAGATCAGCTGTGTAGTGAGGGCTCCGTGTTCCTGAGAATGGGGTCAACTGTGAGGGAGCACGGAAGGTGTCTCTGCTCAGACCCTCTTGTCCTTTAGGGCTTGATCTCAGCTGAGGGCCTGTCCCTTGGAGGGAGGTGGGGGTTTCCCGAGTGTGGGAGGCTGAGGGTAATAGGGGGCTGGGTCCCTTTCACTCCCTACCAACCCTGTCCTCTGCTCTGGATATGCGTGTCTTGGTGGTGCACCTGGCACTGCTCAGGGGTCACTCAGGCGGGTCCTTGCAGGAAGCCTCCAGCTCATTCCCCCATTTGAACCAACCCTCCAGAACCTGGGGAGTTTTTAGGGGGGAAGGGGAACCCTCAGAGGAGTTTGAGCAGACAAGCCCATTCTGTGCCTCAGAGTTCTGTACTCAGGATGCGCCTGTTCTGGTCTCAAACCATTAGCAAAGCAGTCAGAGGTGACTGCTATGGATCAGAGAGTTGAGAACTAAGGCCTGTGTCAGTCTCTTACCCACTTTATGTAAGAACCAAGGGAATTAAAACTTAAGGCAAGTATTAGTTACATGCACCCCTCAAAAATCTGAGAGGCATCGGCCAGTCACGTTCAGTCATGCGAGGGACAGGTGCTGCCGAGTGGGGTTCAGCTCTGGGATGTGACACCAACCCCTTTGTGTCTCACTCATTTTTATGGTCATTGTTCAGTATCTGTCAGCAAACACTGATGTAACAGGAATGGGATAGAACTGGAATAGAGAGCCCTAGGATTTCAGCAATTGAATACAGGGTTTAAGGGACCCAGGGTGTGATGTTGGAGGCCAGTTTTGCAGGTTTGTGGACTGAGCCTCGGGAACACTCACTCTGACTTCAGAAGTACCTGGCGTTGGTTATGAGGAAAATAGGTGCAGACTTGGGAGAGAAGTAAAATTTCCACCCCTTTGGGGCCTTTATAATGTTCTTGAGTTTAGTATGAGTAAGAAAGTGGAAAGCAGGAAAAGGTGAAAAGGGTGAAAAATACACCCTACCCCCTCAAATCATGGGGCCAAGGTATAGGCAGAATCTTCCTCACAGGAAACAGAGAATTGCTGAAATGTTTCGGAAAGAGGTGCTGTGTCACTTACCAGCAGGGAAGTGCTGAGCACACAGTAGACGCCTTCTCAGGGCGGTGGGGCTGGCACTTAGCACAGAGGAGAGAAACAGCTAGTGCTGGTGGGGCTCTGGGGAGAACAAAACTGGCACCTCCGTTCGGGAATGCTGAATAGCTCAACCTTTTGAGAAAACAACTACACACTTTTTCCCACACTGGGAATTGATCTCCGATATGCCCCAGCGATTCCATTCCCTGCCGTTCACTCAGGGCACAAAGCTCTATTTTGAACAGACACTCATACTCCTCTGACCTCCGCAGTCCCATTTACAGTGGCCCAAATCCGGAGACAACCGAGTGTTGGAGCAGATGATGTTAAAGAAACTGGCTCTCGCACCAGAGAAACGCTCTCGCTGTCAGGAGTGACACAATCATGCGACTCTGCACTGAGCACATCTCTCAAGGGCATCCAGCTGAGCAGAGTCAGTCAGTAGATGAACAGCTGCAGAATGACCTCAGGGACAGGCTCTAAGGCAAAGAGTAAGGGAACCACTTGCATCAGAGGTAAGGCACTCTTGACAGATGCCAGGAACTGGGGTTAGGCGGAAGCAGATGCCTGTAAGGGGAACAGGATAGGGGGACAGGACAATGGTGGAGGCAAGGTGGCACTCTGGGGAGAATGAGGTTCTGGAATGTTCTATCAGGAAACCTTGTCCTTATCAGTGTGACAAATCACAGCACCCAAAATAAAGATTTTTTTTTAAGTGAGGAAAAGGTTAATTAATTATGTGCCAGAGGGGGAGAGAGAGAGAAAGAGAGAGAGAGAGAGAGGGAGAGAGAGAGGGAGAAAGTTTAGGGTAGACACTGTCCTCCTGTAGCTTTTTTGGTGGATCCTGGTTTGATGCCCAATGCCAGGTCCCCTGAGCAGAGAGTGGGGTTTACCCGAGAGTCAGCAGGTGCATTCCCACATCCCCTCCAGACAAATGTCTTTATAGAAGAAATGTCATATTACTTCATATGGCATAAAATCCACGTGTGCCTGTCAATGATGATCTTGTGATTTTAGCAACATTTAAAAATAAAGAGGTGTAAAAGTTCATGAGCTAATAAAGCATCAGAGGCTATCACATAAACACACCAACAGATGGGTTTTGTGTGTGTGGTGTTAGGGCCACCCCTGGCATTGCTCAGGGATTACTCCTGGCTCTGTGCTCAGGAATCCCTCAGAGGGGCATATGGGATGCCGGGAATTGGACCCTGGTCAGCCGAGTACAAAGCAAGTACCCTCCCAACTGCTATTGCTCTGAAACCTAATCCACATGGTCGATATACAAAATCAAAAGCTTTTGGAAATTGCCAGTAAACCTCATTTGAAATTGTGAATTTTGTCACTTATCTTATTACCTTATTGTTTTTACTATTCTCAAGATAGATGTGAAGAATTTTGTCCCATTTCCATGAGAGCAAGTAACGTTGCTTAGTCCTGATTTGTAAATACAGAACGCTGAGTTATGATTCCGTCCCTACAGTGACGGTGCTGGGAAAGGGACAGTCTGGGTCAGAGATCCGGTGAGCACAGACCTGAGAGCCAAAGGCGGACATGGTTGTGCAGGAGTCTAGGGGCCCATGACATCTCTATTGTCCGGAGACCTTTGCTTCCTGCTCCTTCTAGAAGGTACTTCTGAGCTTCCAGGGACGTCGCGGGGCTCCCATGAGCTACCACATTGCCTCGCTCAGCCCAGAGGGGGGACTGGGGGAGGGACCCTGCAAGGAAGCAGAGACTGTCACAGACATTCCCGTCCCGTGCCCCCCAGCATTTCCCACTTCAGGGCAGAAGACCCTGCACTGCTCCGCCCAGAGATTCTGCCCCCATCCCAGCTGTGGGCTCTGTCCCGGGG